CATACTATGGCTACAAAAATGACTGTCTGAACGTCATAAATGGAAATGGCATATATAACCAATTGTCAGGGACTAGGCACCATCTTTTATCTAGAAAACGACTAGATTTTAATTTTAACCACCTCATACTTCGGGGGAGTTGGAATGCCTAATGTGGCTCTTTTATTTTTTAGAGGCACAATGCCCTTAAAAGGCTTTAATTTGGAGCCACAAAAGAGACGTGAATTTTGGTTCGTAAAGTTTTGGAGCATTGAAGTATTTATGCTATGGAGGGATTTCAGTGGGTTGATCATTTTTTTGGCTTTGTTATCGAATAAGCATTTAGGCCATAAAGGCAATTGTTTTGAATTTCCAAATGTTAGCATTTGGGGCATAAAGGCCATTATTTTGAATTTTGAAATGTTGGGCCTTAGACAAGTATCCAGTGCATTGCATTGGGCATAGTTTTTGGTCCCAAAACAATTTGATCCTTCTAGGACACTTTCAAACTATTCATGCTACGAACATATGCAACCCAAATGCCTCATGAACCAGGTGATTCATGATTATAACATTAGGTATTAATTGACATATTCACAAAGTAACCCAGAATGACTAAAAATAACAACACATAAACAGCCTACTTCCAAAAAATAAGAGAATCTAGACAAATTGTAGGTTTCTATATTACATTGTTTCCATGAAAATATGGGAAAGAAAATGTAAACATTTCATATGTAAATCATGCATCAATTACTTATTTAGTAAGTAATGCAATGCAAATAAATAAATGAACCGTTAAACTAAATTAAACAGAAATACCTCATCAAGAAGCTCACTTCGTCCCTGCCCAGCTTCAACTGCTGCTAAAGCTTTTTCATGCCATCCATGTTGAAGAAGCCAAGAAATATGATCTTCTGCATCCCTAGCAATCAACAAGAAATTGCATTTGTACATCAACAAAGTTTGTGATTTTTAATATGGCATAGGAGACGATATAATGGCAAAACAAACAATGCGAGCAGTAAAGGAATCAAAATTATGCTTTTAAATCCCACAATTTTTTCTATCAAGGTGAATTAAAATTTAAAGCATCCATTTTCAGGCAATTCACTCTCCATATTAAGATGACATACACTTAAATTCATTAAATAAAAAATTCATTGAACTCACTAAAACTAATGGATGAATTCTACACTTGTCTGCTCAAGCACCCCCCAACCAACTGGGACACCTATCTGCTCATGCACCTTCTTAATTTGTTTCACCATTTTCTTATTTTTCAATAAGAACTTCCAGATTTTTTCACTTCTATCTACCTTCTCACAAACTTGAAGTATTCAGATTTAGATATCCATAAATGGTGAGGAGCCTATGCTTAATTGGAATTCTAAAGATACTGCATTTGGTGAGCAGACATATGAAAAAGATGAGAAGTGGGGGACAACTTTAAACAGATAACTCCTAATGTTTGCATAATAATCATCTCATGAACTAAACTTGACCAGTGGTTGGATTCACAAGTGCGAAAAAAGTGTCTTCTCACTTTATAGATAAGATAGCACATAGATTGATATAATTAACGATAATGATAAAAACAGCCCTTAGGGCAGTTATTAGTGTTGAAAAATGTGTAAAGTGTATTGAAATATGTAAAAAGTGAATAAAAAAATATGAAAGTATTTTGGATATGTGAAAAGTGTATTCGGATTATAAATATTCTGGCCTTTTGTGCTGTAATTAATTATCAATAGGAAAATTACATACTGACATTCTATTAGAATAGAAACTAAGGAAAGATAAAATTGAACTAACCTAGGTTTTGCAATAACTACATCCTTTGGGGATACAATATAGTATAATGGCTCATCACCAGCAGCCCACTGCCCACCTGCATAGCTGCTACCTACATAAAAATGCATAAGTATTACCACTGTTTGAATGCAAATTCATAAACTCTTGCACACTCTTACCTGAGAATGGAGCGTGAGCAAGGGCATAGTCCTTTGCCTTGTAATGCTCAAAGCCATGGACAGGTAGTGCATCTGTTGCAAGCTCATCATTGTTCCATGTGACTACACGCACTTCCGGTCTCTGAGCATTTCCCTGCTTACAACAAATTTCTACATCTTAACACTTATCATGTAAACTACTGACTTCTGCCTATCTATATTTATATAGAAATATGACAGTGTTCTAGTACTATAGAATAAATTGAACAAAGTAATAGAACTGAACCATAAAGGTTATTAGAGGCTTAGACAACAGAATAGTCCATGATTCAAAGGGTCAATGAAGGACAATATGCAGTGTCATAGAAAAGAAAAAAAAGTTGTCAGAAGAAGATTTTGAGGCATAAAAGGATTGTAGAAATCATAATACTAAACAGCTCTGAATAATTAATAGATGAAAAGCACAGAAAATTACTTTGTGAAAAGGAATAAGGATAGATAAAACAATCACACAAAAAATTGGCATTCCATGGGCAGAGATGCTGAAAGAAAATAGATGTTGTTCATGAATCAGGAGACAATCTCTGAACTGAAGGGAAGAGGGCCTCAAAATTAAGACCTTGTAAGTCAAGAAAAATCACCTAAGATAATGTGGCAATAAAGATGGTGGCTAGGGAAGATTTGATGGGTTATGATCCCTTCTGCCTCCATTCTCAAGACTCTTTAACCATTATCGCTTCCTTTTCACTTGTTTGGTTGGGAGGGGGGAAAAAAATTAAAAGCTTGTCCACGAATTTCCCTCACAGAAGAGGGGGGACTTGGACCAAGTACAATAAAATAAACAAACAAGGGGAAATAATTGTTTTCTTTTCCCTTCTGTTCCTATCCTCTCTTCTTTTATCCTTCTCTTCTATTCCCCTCTGTTCTCATCTCTCATAGAAAACATAGAAAAAAACATTTGGGAAACTGTAAACATTGGAAGTTTAACAGTGTTCTTCCAGCTATGCTCTTTTTTCTTCCCTCCCACAGCTCTAAAGGTCCCTTTCTCCATGCAAGGAGTCCTATAATACGAGTTCAGGGGAATCTGTTAATCTGATTTTTGGCAGACTAGTATCGTCCATTTTCTTCTTCTCTTTTGTATACAAGTGGCATTCCTTCAATCCCATCTTTTAAAGAAATATTACTATTACTCATGAAAAATAGTATTCACACAGTTCCTATGCATCAGGACCACAAAAATCTATCAATAGAATTAAGGTGTGAATAGTTCCAAGAAAAGCTTTATTTTGCAAAATTACACGAGCAAATGAGTACAACAATTCTGGAAAGTAAAACACAGCCTAACTTTTACCAACAAAAAAGAAGGGATCTCAGTGTTCGAAATTGGTTAACCTGGTCTTGCAGTGAAGCATAACTGCGAAAAGCAAACATGTCTACAATGACCGCTCCTATTGGGGGTTCCTATAAGCAGCACAAAGTCTTCAATATTTGTCCTTCACTCATGATTTGTGAAAAAGGAAAAAGATTTTAAAATTTTCCAAATTCTCTTGGTAAAAATTGATACAATATGCCCATACACCCAAAGCACAAAGTGAAATGAGTAGTGCCTTAAGATCAAAAGTAAATATATAGAAACAAACAATCTTCTTCACCAAGTGGAAATGAGTGTTCCAAACTTCAGTGTGTTGCATGCAGGGTTAAAAATACAAATCTGCTTTACTAGAAAACACAAATGAGGAAGAAAAATACCTGGCGTGATGGAATGGTGCTGCTAAATTCCTTCTCTCCATCTCCTTCCCCCGGAATATAAGCTAGAACAACCAAAGTATCACCAAAAGGAGCAATTCCGGAAATGAAATAGCTGGTTTGAAAAGATGCCACGATATCCACTTGGTTCATGCTAGACATGGGAATATGCTTATGTGTCCCATTCGCAACTTTGTTCTGATTTGTTCTTATAGATGCAATTTTCACAGATGTTCCCCATCCAATTACCAAGAGAACATCATCCTAAACATGATGGAGAGACATTATGCAATGGCAAGCAGGCTTAAATTAACATAGTTGTGATACATTTCTTTTCAGAGGCAAAATAAATAAACTAGATAACTCCAGTGTTGTAGTTCTTTTTAAAATATTACTGCAATTGCAGAGGCACTCACTTCATGCAGTGGTGTCCGTGTGTGTCCCAATATTGTGCCTATCTTAATGTTCTACTAACCTGCCAAACTAAGTGAGGAAGCAGAAGCTCAGGGCGTGGGCTTCCTCGTGGTCTCTCAATAAAGGTTACACGCTGATCGTTAGCAGAATCATAAACTTTCACACCTGCATCATTAGCCCAAGCAATGAGACTTGTTCTCCACTTCACTGCATGAATAGGGCCTTCACCAGAGTGCAGAACCTGCAAAAACAAATAAATATATTATTTCAGGAACCAAAAAAATTGCTATATTTTTTTAGTAGAGACGTAAGGGACATGCCAGACACCTGGAACAAACCTGGTCACGGTACCCCATCCACTTCTTTGTATTAAAATATAAATGACCTGCTAAACCACCAGCAACAAATCTTCTGGATGATTTTCTTGCATAATCTGGATCCAGAGCAATCGCCTTCATTGGACGATGATAATCAAATTTCATTCTCTCGTCAGTAAAAAGGCTGCTTATTACAACAGATCCATCATCTGAACAGCTTCCAATGTATTCACCTTCTATGTCAAAGCAAAGATCATTGACAGTAGCAGTATGGGCAGGGAATTCCATTACCTGTAGAAAAGAAAGATGCGTATTTTGAAGGGGGAGGGGGAAAACATTAACTTGAATGCAACAGTATATCAGCTTAGTAAAGCTGAAATAAATAAGAAGCCATCCATTGTCCAAGCTAACAAGGTAGTTGAAAGGTCTGAATCATGACCCTAAGCAAAGATCCCATAGTGTACCACCCACTAGATTCATGATTCTTAACCAAAAATCTCTAGAACTTTCATTTGCAACACAAATTCCAGTTGCTTTGTCCTATGCATTTCACAACACTGATGCCAGAGATTCTTACAGATGAATACACAGTTATGCTTTAAGTTTGCCAAAAAAATATAATAAATAAAATTTTGAAGATAATATAAATTGCTAATCTGTACGTCCTTGCTCAAGCGGGAAAGGCATAAATTTTGATTTTTATACAAAATAATATTCTAGATAATTACATTTAATCACTAAGGCATCACTAGGATGCAAATTCATAATTTATTCTTTTTTGAAACAGACAAATGGTATGCAATAGAAACTTACTATCTTTTGGAAAGTTGGTTGCTAGATAAAGGAAAACGATAGAGTTGAGGTTATGGTAGGTTTGGGTGAGAATCTTAGAAGACAAATTTTAAGATTAAGCTTTGCAGAAGTAGTGTTTACAAAGAAAATTTTTTGGGGACAAAAGGCAAAGATGAAATGGCTAGAGGCAGAGCAGATAATAACTCAAAACTTTTTCACAAGGTCGCAAATAAAAAGTTTGGCTACTGCAGAAAGGCAAAGGATAGAATTGAGGTTATGCAAGGTTTGAGTGAGAATCTTAGGAGGCATATTTTAACATTAAGCTTTGAGGATGTGATGTTTGAGAAGAAAATTTATTGGGGGGAAAAGAAAAAGATGACATGGCTAAAGGAAGAAGACAATAACTCAAAATTGTTTCACATGGTTGCAAATGGGAAGAGAAAGAAGAAGTTCATCCAATTATGTCGGGTCATTTGTGAATATGGAGGATCAAATTGTTAACGAAATTTTTTCCCTTCTATTCTAGGTTGTATTCTTCAAATGGTTTATAGGCTAAGGGTTGAAGGTTCGGAGGAATTCAAATTTCAAGCATTCATTTTTTAGCATGATAAACAAATCACTAGGGCTTGACAATTTCTCCATGGCCATTTTTCAAGATTACTAGGAGGTGGTTAAACATTATTTGGTTGAGGTGTTTGTTAAATTTTTTAATAATTGAGTTGTAAAGGCATCTACAAACCATACTTTCATTTGGCAAAATCCTAAAATAGAGAATTTTTAAAAATTAGTGATATTAGGCCAATCAATTTAGTCACCTCTTTGTATAAAATATTAGCAAAGATTTTGTCAAGAAGGTTGAGGGCAGTTTTGGTTAATACCATTTCCTCTTATCAGGGTGCTTTTGTTGAAGGCCGCCAAATTTTAGATGTGTTAATAGCAAATGAGACAGCAGAGAAATATAAGAGATAAAACAAGGAAGAATTCATTTTTAAGGTACTTTCAAAAAGCCTATGACCAAGTGAAGTGGGGTTTTATGAATTTTGTCTTGCAAAAGAAGGGTTTTGAGGATAGGTGGAGAAGGTCAATTTGGGTTTTTGTCATCTTGTAATTTGTCTGTGATGTTAATGATAAGGACTAAGAAGATTGATCAATGGCTTTGTAATTGGGATGGGTAGTATTTTTGTTTCTCATTTTACTGATAAAAATAAATAAATAAAATAATAATAATAATTTAACTCATGCTTCTCATTTTTAGTTCGAACTATTACTATATTTTTCTCTTGTGGTGAAGATGACAAAACACTACAATTGCTCTCTATATTGAGATTGTTTTTTATTCACTTTATGTACAAGTAGTATCGTAGGTATAAGGCGTGCAGGGTTCAGGGTTTGGGGTTTAGGCTATTCCATTGAGTCATTACCAATGAAGGCATGAAGTATCCAGGTCCATCTTTGGGTATAATCCTAGGTGTTAAAAGTTTTTGGGCTCTATAGCCTCTAGTTATTGAGAAGACTGGCAAAAGATTGGAGGGGTGGGGGAGGGTTTTGCTAGCGAAAGGAGGAGTGAACATGCAAGCTCAAGTTCAAAATGAGTAGGGAAACAAACTAAATGATTCCTAAAAATCAACAACTTAATATATACACCATATCTTCAGAATTACAAAATAAACCCTCATTATACTCATCTATACTATTATTAAAAGCCAACAACTACTTTGGTGTCTTAAAGCCATCCTCTCATAATTTTTTACTAATTTTCCTAAAATAACCTTAACTTCTTCAATAATTATACTATTTTTAAACTCATATCAATGTATAATTAAGGATAAAATCATAAATTATTAACTCACAAAATATAACTTCTCATGTTCAATAACTTCTTTCAACCCCACCATACGGCTTTGCCACCTCTATTGCATGCTTTTGTTCATTTCCCTCTCTTCACTCCTTCCTCTCCTCCCCTTCTTCTCTGTCCCCAAACCCAAACTACACAGAAAGAAAAGAGAAAAAAGGAAAAAGAAAGAGTAGAGATAACCAAGAAGAAGAAATCAGTTTCCATGGCCGTTGAAGCACACCATCTTAATCTTGATGGCGTTTGTACCCAAGGGAATACAAATTTAGGCTGTTTGATGTAATTGTTTTCGAGAAGTATGCTTTAAATTTCTTCGAATCATGTATGTATGAGAACTTTTTGTATGGATTATATATATACATTACATTGTAAATTGAAATTTTTGTATGGATTATATACACACATCCGAGACCCATCACAAACACCGAAACCACAGCCATCATCATCAACGCCGCGAAGATCGTACGGCCCACATTCCTCCCCAAAACCAAACAATGTGCAATCGCTAACCCCCTCATCGCCTCCATCTTACTCAGCAACCATAAGTACCGAATCACCCAGTGGTCATTGTGGTCGTAATCATAATCGTATTCGTAATCTACTCCGTTTAACAAATAACAATCTGATGATTTCTCGCAATCCATGAAATCTCCAACACGGCGGCGATGGGCGGCGGTGTGTAGTCTGGGACTGGCGTTGGCGGTGGTGGCGACACCGATGGACATCAAAACCGTTGATTGCTAAGTTATGGGTATGGGTGATTTTTGCTTCTCTCTCTAAAAAAAAGTATAATTTTATCTCTCTATATTTCTGTGAAATGTTTCCGAACCAAATTCCTTTGGGAAAAAAAAAACATATAGTATAAGTTTATATTCAAATTTTTTTTATATATATAAAAAATTGTGAAGTATAAAACGTGTGCGATTATTTAGACTTAGATTACATTTTAAAAGTTTGGTTTTCTTTTTTTTTTCTCACAGTTAACTCTTTTAAGCTTCTTCTTTTTTTTCGGTTTTGTTTTGTTTTTTTGTTTTTTTGTGTGTATAAATTCAGTTTTAAAAAAACAAATTTGTTTGTTCACTTAATTTTGTTTGTATGTTATTTAAAATTAAATCCAGTGGTCTTAAAAAAATCATATAAAATAAGTGTCTTGAGTTTGTATTTTTTAATTTTTGGTGTAATACTGTTAGTCATACTTTCTATAAAAAAAAATTACAAAATCAAATGTTTCATTGTGTTATTAGGTTAAAAAAAATCAATTATTATTTTTCTTGGTTTATATCAACATCTATGTTTGTAAGTTTATATTCATTTTTTTTTTATATATATTTAAAAAACTGTGATGCATAAAATGTGTGTAATTATTTAGACTTAGACTTAAAAAGTTTGGGTTTTCTTTTCCATTTGATTTGGACTATGTTAATCGATGTCAAAATGTATTTTTAAAATTTTTTAGTTTCTGAGAGGGTAATTTATGATCTGGAGTTGGGCCGAGGTGACGGCCAAGCAGGTTGAGGGCCCAACGGTGTATGGGGCCGAGCTGATTGGGCCGGGCAGAGTTTGGACTGAGTGTGTGCCGCCCCGGACCGTTGTCTTTATATATAATAAGCCAATTAGAAAATCAAAATTATTATTGTACTCTATTAGTCAAAGTACGCATGTGAACAATTGTGGCTCACTTTAACAACGTAAAATTCTAATTTAATCAATGTACATTGTTTGTAAATTAATTTTTACATGTATCTTATATATTTTTTGTAAAATTTGTAAGATCTTCAGTCGTATCTTACTAAATTGAGATTTTATATGAATTTTTGTTGTAGAGTTTTCTTTAATTAAGATTAGTAAATATTATATTTTCTTAAAAAAAAAAATTGAACAAATTTTAATGTATATCTATTTCATTTATCAAATATCTTAATATCAAATGTTACATTACACATAGTTATACATGTGATTTATATGTGCATTATTAGAAAATTTAATGTAAATTTCATATTATAATTCCAAACGAGTTTGCACACGCATCGCGTGTGCGCGGCCGCTAGTAATATATATATATATGTACGGGGAAGAAATAATTCTCCTCGTATAATCCTGTTGACCAAGTCCACGCTCCTCCGTACGACGTCGCTTTCTCACCTGAAAACACAAACGTGAGCTAGCCGGCAGGTGTGTGCCGGAAACCTCTCCGATGCCTAAGTCAGTAACTTGACAGATAGACAAAAGCTCTATGTTCTCAGAAAAATTGTGTTCAATTACCTCCTCCAAGGTGATGTTTGTGAGCTTTTATAAGTTTCCAGTGGCACAATCCTAGTAGGACTTTTATTCCTCCATGCAGAGTCCTCCTAAGATTCATACTCCTAAGGATAATGCTTATCCTTTTACACCCTCCCCCACTGCTTAAACCAAGTGGGATGGTTTTTACTTTGGCCGAACTACTATATGACCGAAATAAGCTTGGCTATGCAGAGCCACCGAGTAAACCGAACTTATCCGTAGTTCGGTTCTTGTGTTTTCCCTTTCTTATCTCAGCTTTCCATGTAGAACCCATGGTACGGTCTTAGACCGAACCAACGACTTTCGGCCGGTCTAACCCCAATACCGGGATAACTCCAAGTTGCCTTAGGACCGAAGTATATTTTATAGTCACTATACCGAAGTAACTTTATCTCTCTTAGGCCGGAGTAGCCTTGCCTCTCCTGGGCCGGAGTAACATTGCGGCCTTTCCTGGGCCGGAGTAACATTGCAGCCTTCCCTGGGCCGGAGTAATATTGCGGCCTTTTCACCAAATCTCTGGCACTTTGGGCCACAAAGCCTATCTCATAGCTCGGCCCAATTTTTACCAAAAATTTCCCTCTCAATATATATACAATTTAGAGAGTTGGAATGGGTAAGTTGCACTAAAGCTTGTGAATGGTCAGTTCAATTGAGCAAGATGAAGATCAAAGCTAATTTCTTTTAAAATATAAACTACTGTACTTCTAATTATAAAAAAATAAAAATAAAAAATCAATTTTAACAATAATAGGGGAAATTTTAGATCTGGGGAGTGATTTCAATCATGATTATTTCAGTTCAATCAAGCAATTTGATGAGAATTGAATAAAGATGTGATTCAATTGAAGTACAAGTGATGTTCAAGAAGTTACTTGATTGCCGAGGAAATCAAGAATATGAAGAGAGCCGGCGTGAGTGCCGAGAGCGATCATTCGCTCGGCGACGGCGATACAGGAGGCGGCGTCGCTAGAGAGAAGCGAGGGCACACTTCCCCCCATTCGCTGGTACTTGAGCCTCGGCTCATCCTCTTCTTCCTCGTCCAATTCTTCTTCTTCATCTTCTTCGTCTTCTGAATCTTCCTCCTCTTCTCGCTCATCGTCGCCGTCGACTCCGTTCTCTGAGGGCTTCGGAGACATTGTCAAGCCCCGTCTATGGTGGAGATAGAAAGTATTGAGAGAGAGAGAGAGAGGGGGAGGTTTGGTTGGGTTCGGTTCGGTTCGTGTTTTAGGGGGGGGCTTGGGGATTTTGTAGGTGTGAATCAGTGATAGTGAGCTTTTTGGTGCCGGTTAAACAGTTGTTTATTTATTTATTTGCAATACGACAAAACAGCAATGACAAAATGGGGATTGGCACTAGTCCTTCCCATTTTTGCATTTCACGCTTCACATACTTTAACATTAAGAGAAATGTTTGACCCCTTTTTTTTTTTTTTTTTTTTTTTTTTAAGATTCTATAAATTCTAATTTGATTTTGATTTTTGAGCTTATGTATATGGAGATTTCATATTATGAGTGATTAGAATGAGAGTTGAGATCATATATGTGTGAGGGTTTTTATCAGAATTTTAATATTAATATGAAAGAATTGGAGAGATTTATTTTGCAACGATAATTTAAATTATTTATTTTATAAGACTCGTAATATATATTATTTATAAAATAAAATTTTAATTGATTTTAATTGTAATATTTTAAAAAAATAAATGATATATTTTTAAATATATATTTGTTATTTATTTTTTTAAAGATAAATACTGAGAGGGTAATTTTTGGAGAAAATTTGGACCGAGCTGTAAGATGGACTTTATGGCCCTAAGTGTGAAGGACTCAGTAAAAGGCCGTAATAATATTCCGGCCCAGAAGAAGCATAGTTACTCCGGTTAGGAGAGGTGTAATTGCTTCGGCCCAAGATGGTGTAAAGCTACTCCGGTCTGGAGGTAACTTGGAGTTAGTCCGGCCTTACGGTTCGTTCATAACCAAAGTTAGTCCGGTCGCGGAGTATTATGGTTAGATCGGTCGGAGCTTGCTACTCAGAAGCTTGGTCTTAGCATACCATGGTTAAACGGAAGAAAACCGAACTAAGGATAGTTCGGCCTACTCTGTGGCTCAGCATAGCCGGTATTATTTCGGTCATATAGTAGTTCGGCCGTGGTAAAAACCATCCCACTTGGTTTAAGCAGTGGGGGAGGGTGTAAAGGGATAAGCATTATCCTTAGGAATATGGATCCTAGGAGAACTCTGCATGGAGAAATACAAGTCCTACTAGGATTATGCCATTCGAAACCTATAAAAGCTCACAAGCACCACCTTGGAGGAGGTAATTGAACACAATTCTTTCTGAGAACATAAAACTTTGTCTATTTGTCAAGCTTACTGACTTAGGCATCGGAGAGGTTTCCGGCACACACCCGCCGGCTAGCTCACGTTTGTGTTTTCAGGTGATAAAGCGACGTCGTACGGAGGAGCGTGGACTTGGTCAACAGGATTATACGAGGAGAATTATTTCCTCCCCGTACAATTGGCGCCGTCTGTGGGAAGAACAGACAAGAACAAAAACCTCTTGACTAAGCTTCTCCTTTTCTCAAATCAATGGCACACATTGAAGAATTGCCGCAGTCCGCCGTCGACGGACTAACCCCAGATGGAGGCGCAAGGCGTGAAGGATTACCTTCTGTCCCTCCCATGGCGGACTTGGAGCCTCAACAACATAACTCCAGAAGGAGTGGCAGGGGAAGGCGGAATAACAGCCCTCGTCACTCTCAAAGTCCTGACAGGCAAAGGAGGAGGATTGATCCTCAAGCCCTGGAAGATCGCGTAAAGGAACATAAAATTAATTTATTTAAGTACATTAAAAATTGTGTAAGACACTCTACATCTAGCAATTGACAGAGCACATACTTATCTACATTCATTTTTGTTTTTTTGTTAGCAGATTGAAGAATATTTACTCTCTTGATTTGCATCCATATTTTCTCAAGTGGCAGCCTCTCACATCAAACTTTAATACCATAATAGACTGGATAGACATTTGATTTATTATTATTAACAGGCAGACAATTAGTATTTTGTGATTTCCAAATTTATGGTACAAATAAAATAGTTCTTTATATAAAGGATTAAAATTCCCTACCCATTCCTATGGTGAGAGTGATATCTGCAACATGTGTTG